AAGATTGCAATCTTAAATTAGCTGCTATTCACAAACTGTTGGTCTGGTTTTTTGTTTTTTTTGGTTAACTAAATTATATGAAAATGCCAAAATCGATTAGAAATGTAAAAATCAGACAATCTGCTATGAGGGCATAAAGTATGATTGCTTTTGTTTGTATTTAGAGTATGCAACAATAGGGCTGCAATAGGCTTCGGCTGTGAACTCTAAAAAAATACTTCAGTGCATGCAAGCATAGCTTTTGTCTGCAATGCTTTAAGGAGCATGGCTGCCTGAAGAAATTCCAAATGCCATTTTGCCCTCCCATGCTCTCTGAAGCTGCCCAGCCTTGCTCAATTACAACATTTAGTTTGATTGAGAATTAAACTGGTACCTATGAACCGTAGCCATCTACTTAAATAGGTTAAATAGAAAGTTTCAATAACTTTATTTTTTCTTTAAAGTGTGAAAATATATTCACCATGATATTCTTTTTTGTCACTTTCGCAGAGATCTGCGCTTAATTGATAAGGGAGCATTTCACGCTCGTCAAGACTCAATGGAACTTTCACTCTTCCAGAACATGATATTAAGACAAATGGAAGCTGTCAAGGATACTCTTTTTAAAAAGTAAGTTCAAAATACCTTTTTAATGATTCATGTCCCCTGGAATGAAAGATTGAGCACAGCTAATTTTGTGACTGAATACTCTCAAGCTCTTACTGAGCAGTTTTCTGCCAAAGCTGAAAGACTAATATTAAGTCAGACCTGTTTTGTTTTTTGATATTACTTGTTACATTTTTTGTCTTGAGGTTTTAAATTATATTTTTATTTTTATTTCGCTATTTTGAGATGTGTAAACCACCCAGAGTCTATGAGGGGGAATAGCAGATGAATCACATACATAAAAATAAATAAAATTATTTGATAATAATGACTCCTGATATCCCCCCCTTGAATTTTAAGAAATGTTATATTGGAGAGATTTTAACTCCATGTTAAAAGTTAACCTCCTTTAAAAAGATTCTGTATTTTTAGATTGCAGTGATCAAGAGAGATATTTTTTTCTTAGTGAAGGGGATTCTTAATATTGTGCATTTTTCGGCATCCAAAGTTCTAAGAATGGAGGGGCGCTGCATAGTAGATATGAGCCAATGGTGGGATTCAAATAATTTAACAACCGGTTCTCTGCTCTAATGACCAGCTGGGTAGGCGAGGCTCTGTGGTCATGTGACCATGTGGGTGTGGGCAACTCAATGTCACTCAGGTCGATGGGCGCTTCGCCTTAGCTGTTACAATGTAAGAAGGGTTAATGGGAGAGGCAGTTTCTGTAAGCAGGGCANCTACCAGTTCGCACCTATTTGGTAGAACCGGTTCGTCAAATCTACCAGACCAGTTAGAAGCATTCGCTGGCTGGGGAATTCTGGGAGTTGAAGTCCAGACATCTTCAAGTTGCCAACGTTGAGAAACACTGCACTAGTATATATTAGATCTTTTAGCACTGCAATTGTCTTCTAGGATTATAGTACTGATTTTAATTTTGTTTTCTTTTTCCTTTAGAATGGAAGTAGTGCCAAAAGCTTGGAATAAGTCCTATATTGCAGCTCGCAATCACATAAAAGAAAATTTGTATGCAGTGAATCCCACAATGATGGCCGTTCTAGATCTCTGGCAAACAACTTTTAAGTAAGCAATATTTTCAGTGCATAAGTCAGCCGTACTCAAGCCGGGCACCTTCAGAGGTATGAAGTTTGGCAACCAGAATTCTGGCAGTTAAATTGTAGCCACGTGGCAGATAACCAAATGAGAAGAAGCTGGTATGGGTGTCACGGGTCATCAGTGAAAGTGAAGAATATGTACATACTATATGTGCAATTTATCCTTTGCGTAGCTCCATGGAAAAGTATTTGGGCAGATTTCCTTCCTTCCTTCCTTCTTTCCTTCCTTCCTTCTTTCCTTCCTTCCTTCCTTCCTTCCTTCATTCCTTCCTTCTTTCCTTCTTTCTTTCCTTCCTTCCTTCCTTCCTTCCTTCCCTCTTTCCTTCTTTCCTTCCTTCCTTCCTTCTTTCCTTCTTTCCTTCCTTCCTCCTTCCCTCCCTCCCTCCCTCCCTCCCTCCCTCCCTGTTATCTTTTCTTTGAAGCTTTTTGCCCAGGGGTGAAATTTAGCAGGTTCTGACAGGTTCTGGAAAACTGTAGCTGAAATTTGGAGCAGTTTGGAGAACCGGCAAATATCACTTCTGGCTGACCCCAGAGTGGGGTGGGAATGGAGATTTTGCAATATCCTTCCCCCAGGAATGGAGAGGGAATGGGGAATTTGCAGTATCCTTCCCCTGGAGTGGGGTGGGAATGGAGATTTTGCAATTTCTTTCCCTCGCCAAACTCACAGAATCGGTAGTAAAAAAAAAAAGAATTTCAGCACTGCTTTTGCCTGCCTCATTAATTTTTAACCCCCCAAAATTTCAAGGTTGCTGAAGCAGAGGCATCCACAGCAGGAAAATGATGGTATTTCATCAAACAAATGGAATGACTTACATGCTTGCATCAACTATCACATTGCAAGCACATAATTCAGTCATTTGTGTGATGGCCTCACAATGCATATGATACAATTTGGATATCATTATGGCTATTAAGGATGTCTGTGGAATGCAGTCCTTAGGACTAAACCACATTGAATTATTTATTGTTGTGAGCTGCCCAGATTTGATTGGAGTCAGGCATCCAAACTGAATTAACTAACTTACTACAGAGAACTGATTCATGATTATATTTTGGAGGTAGTAGTACAAAGCCATAATTTGATTTATTTGGTTTTGGGCTAATGCAGTGTGTAAACTCAGCCGCTGCAGTTTGTAAGGTGTAACTTATGGCTTAGTAGTGGAAAGAGAGCAGAGTTGGATTCTCCTCTTTGTACACATGCAGAGTGTTGAGGTGGTGGTTATGAATAAATGATGACTTTCAAATAAAAAAATGGGAAAAATACCTACCATGTTGCTATCTTGGCTCTTCTTTGGGTTAAGTAGATTCAACTGCAAGTAGTTGATGGTCTAGTTAATTTAATTCTCAAGTGTGAATTGTTTTAAATCTTCCAATCTGCAAAGAATTTCAATTTGCTACTCGTTGGGAAACGAAAGCTACAAGAATTCTTCAGTGGATCTTCTTTAAGGAAGATCCTCAGTCAGGAACTATTTTGAAGTCTTTTTGAGGTTTTACTTGCTTCTTTGTTTCAAGGACAACTTATCGGGCTCCAAGCTCTTATTAGAGGGTGTTTTTTTTTTTAACTACTTCGAAAGTGATTGAATTGGAATGAAGCCATCTGCTTGATTCTGGCAGAAGAAAACTAATGCTGGAATCTTAGAAGACATGGCTTAGATAAATTTGAAAAAAGTGCCAGATATCTTTAGAAGCACTAAAGGAATAGTTGAGCAATTAAAGTTTAGCAAAATGTGATTGCTGTTACACACCCTTGGAAGTAATTCTGCATCTCTAAGACATTGAGGGGGGAATTTGATAGTGTAACAACCAACTCAGGGAGAATATAATTGGTTAGTGTGAAAACTATTTTTCTTTCATGAATAAAGTTAACAAGAAGGATAAACTGGGCTGGTTGAAGAAGACAGGCATGGCATATGGCTTGCTTCAAAAAGTTGGGGATCTTCTCTCTGCTTGGACAAATACCTAGTTGTCAGCTTCTTTATCATCACACATATTGAGAATTTACTTACAATGGTGCCTTTATTGCCCCTCCATTCTGTTTCTTATGATAGCAGTTTAACAAATATTGGAGCTTGTTTAATGCTCTAGTCTAGTGATAGCAGATACGATAGTTTTGGAAAATTAAAGTCATGGTTTCAGCAGTTAAAAGGCATTGATTTCCATAAAGGTGACTGAAGATATTCCAATCAAAGATGTCTTGGATTTTGCTGAAGGAACTGGTCCATTTCCTGTCACACTAGCCTTAGTGATGGATAGTTCTCTGAAAAGAGAGAGAGAAAGAGGGGAAGAGTGGGAGGGAGAGAAAAAGAAGATGGAGAAAGAAAGAGGAGGCGAGAGTGAGAGCGAGATCTTCAAGCGATAAACCTTGCATTGTCCACAGGCACAAACTTTTCAACTGATATAAAATATTAATTTTATAGATAATTTTATAAAAGGGTAGCAATAGCAATAGCAGTTAGACTTATATACCGCTTCATAGGGCTTTCAGCCCTCTCTAAGCGGTTTACAGAGTCAGCATATCGCCCCCACAGTCTGGGTCCTCATTTTACCCACCTCGGAAGGATGGAAGGCTGAGTCAACCTTGAGCCGGTGAGATTTGAACCGCCAAACTGCAGATCACAGTCAGCTGAAGTGGCCTGCAGTACTGCACCCTAACCACTGCGCAATAGTATGTTAGACAATTCTTAGAGAGTAGATGAGTAGATGAGAAGAATTCTTTTTCCCTACTTGCAAACCAATCCCCAGAAGTCTCCAGAAGGGTGACTGAGTCTGCATTTTATTTACGGATATAAATTTGACTGGATATATGGAATTGTATCACAATGCAGGATACCAATATTTTGATTATTCTTCATGTTTCTCCATGCACATATGCACGTATATTTAAGTGCATAATATTTTAAAGAACTTCTGGAGTTTAAATCAACTAAAGTAAAGTGAAGCTACTAGTCTTTAAAAATTTTGGTGGTTGCAATTTCAGATCTGTAAGGAGGAATACGTTTCGTAATTTTTTTTAACCCCAGCAGTGTTTTCTGCTTTGCATTACTCCCATGCTGCTTTCCCATGCCCACATCCAATTTTAGATTTGCATTTTACAGGAGTAATGATGCTGAGATTTCTCTTCCATGGGGCCTTCAAAAAGATTGGAATCTTTTCTGAGGTTTGCAGGATTTGTAAATAATAAACTAATATCTGGACCCCTACTTTGAGAAGTGACTATTTTCAGATAGTATTTTTGATATTAGCATGGCTCCGTTTCGAACACACATTTACAAGTAAACGTAAGAAGCTCTGAAAAATTTTCAGGCGTTCCCATTTCTGCTTTTCCTTTCTTGGAAAAGAAGCCGTCCCAAAACCACTGCAAGGAGAAGTGGTCAAATTACATTATTTTGGCTGTTTGTGTCATGGTTTGAATAAATGAACTGTTAACTTTGAAGATAACCTATTGCTGAGGCCTGAATCCCATTAATTAAAGAGAAACTGGTGTTAATGGCTTATTCAACCGAGGTGTTAGAACGGGAAGCGGATATTCTCAAGTTGATAGATTTAGAGGGACGAGAAAGGAGGTGTTGTTCCATGTATAATAAAGTTACAGAATCAAAATTTGAGATTTGAGATTTGAGAAGTTTATTTATATGCCTCCCTTTTCCCTGGGGGGACTCAGGGTGGCTTACAACTCGAAAAGGGGAGGGGGAAACAAACATTTGACACGTAGGACAGTACGTCATTAAAAAAACACAACATTCATACCATTTGGGTGGGTTACAGTCTTTAGCCCCAGGCCTGACGGAATAGC